ATACAGTTCAAGGTTAAAGGTTCAAGGTTCAATATACAAGGTTCAATGTACAAGGTTCAAGGCTCAAATGTCAAAATGTGAAATGATTCGCAATTAATACTATTCATACTATCTCACTTCTCATATACGCCAGGGCCAGGGGCTGTACGTGTAATGAGAGGGGCTGAAGGGGCAAGTGCAGAGGACTAAATTTCGTGCTGGCAACTGTTTGCAATTAGGCGCAAATAAACTAAATTGTTTTGTGGCTTGGGTGTTTTCGCCTAATTCGAGCCATTTTCAAATTTGTTTAACAAATATACACACAGCTGTGACTACCAATCAGAAACACACACACGCACGCACACACACACACACGCTTCTGCCCTTTGTGCGTGGGGCAATTGCATTATTGGTAAAATGTTTTTGGTAAATGTGTGAAATATTTTGGTTGGCTTTCGCCGACTGCCCTCTAATTTGTGTATTTTGTGCGATTTGGCGCATTTACATATTTTAATTAAAACACAAACTTTGCATTTGAAGCCAGCGCAAGGGCCAGAGTTTCATGACCAAATCAAACCTAAGAGCACTTTTATCTACAGCTGACATTTATTCGAACTGTGTAATTTTATTATATTCGAATCATTCGTTATATACCCTAGCTTTATGCAAAAAGGGTATAATCAAGTCTCTGAGATGTACATATAGTGAAATACAATTTTGAGTGTCAGTATAAAAATATATGTGAAATATATGTGAGCTATGTCAAAGCATTTACACTGATAAAATTTCATATTTAAAAATAATTATCTCTAAAATAATATTTACCATAAATTTGATTTAAAACTCGTTCGAGTCGAGAAGTTCAGACAACAATTTACTGTTCAATATTTCTGACATGCTTGTGTGCTTTTGGTTATTTTAATAAATATTTCAACAGCCATACACGCACGCACAAGCACACACATACATGCACGACACTAACATTCGTATACACGACCGTACAGATAGACAGACAGACATAGTTTACTATCTACTAAATATTTAAACGCAGCATCAGATCGTAAAAGCAAAATGTATGCAAAGTGCATGTCGAGCAGCAATCGAGGCGAAGCTGTAAAAAAAAAAAAAAATAAATAAAAAAAAAAAAATAAAACAACGTGGAAGACGAGCTGAAAAATTAAAATAAATAAAAGTAGACAGCTTGAAGAAACTCAGGCACATGTGAGAATGTGTGTGAGTGATAGACTTGAAGATATGCTGTAATGCATAATGATGCAGTTACTACGTTTTCTATGTTCTGGAATTTTTAAATAATGGGCATAGCTGGATATAAGAGCACTTACATATACAAATTAATTAAATTTATTTATTTATAAAATAATGGCAACGGTATAAAAGTCAAAAGAAGATGAGTTGCAGATCTATGAATATAATTAACCATTTTACATCATTGATTATATTGATTATATGTATATGCTATAAAACAGCCCTTTATTTCAGGTATACTTTGTCCAATATGCCCCCATTGGGAAAATTTATGTTCACAGGGTAGAAAAAAAAAAGTGCAGCAATATTGAATAAAGTTAGTACCTGTCGAGCTGTTGTGTTCCATCGTATGCTGCCTGTTGTACACACATGCACATACATATAAATATACATACTTCTGCTTGTAGTTTTTACACACATTTTTACTATTACGAGTATTTTGCTAGAGCCGGCGGTGCAAAGCAGTCAACGGGATTCACACCCAAAGCACCCAGAGAACCTTGCATGAAATAGTGTGCAGGTGCACCAGTCCATAATGTGTGTGTGTGTGTGATGTCTAATATAAACGCAAATATGCAAACATTGTGCTGGGCACATTCCACCACGTCTTTTCACGGCTTGGCGATGAAGTAGCAAAAGGGTTTTCATACACCTCGTTGCATCGACAGAATTTTGACTTTGCCAGCAATAAAGTGCGTGTGGAAAAATGTGAGTTTGTGCTGGAATTGATCAGTTTTAAATGGCAAGTTTAATTAAAGTTCACGCTCTTGGCAGTTGCTCTTAGTTATTCGCTTATAAAGTACACAACGCATCCAAATGGTTTTGATGCCAAATATTGCATATCTGACTCACTCTCTCTCTCTCTCTCTCTCTCTCTCTCTCTCTCTGTCTTTTTCTTTCTCGTTCTCTCGCGCACACACACTCACAAAATTGCTTAATTTCATGCACATTCCTGTTATTGACGCCCAGTGCCATGCCCCCTCTGCATCCCTGTCGCTGCCTTTCGACTCTTTTGGCTCGCTGCATGTTCGTTGCGAGCAAGAACAAATAAAAGCAAAATGCGCCAAAGCCGCAATAAGTGTTTGCCTGTGTGTGTGCGTGTATGGGTGAGTGTGTTTGGGTAGCATGTCTTGTGCTATGCAATGCCACGCCCACACAATCAAGCGCCCATTTATGCACTAATTAAAATTTTATCGTTAAATCTTGTTTGCATGCATTGCAACAAGCGGCATGCTGAACCCCAGCCACGGCGCATCTCGAGTGCCGATGGACCGCGTGCACCTACCCACCCCCCACACCGGCCCAGTAGCCCTTCGCTCGCTCCACGCCATCGGCAGTTATCGGGCGAGTCCCCCTCCCCGCCCACACATTTCAGTCACTGCCATAACTAACCGAGCTGAACCCGCCGCGACGCCCCTCTGTCTGCCTACCAAAATGTATGCAATGCGCACATTTTTCGTCGAAAATGTTTGGCAACCGTTATTTGCACTTCCGGCGCTTGCCACATCCACACACACACACATGCATTTGCATGCATTTAACGCTTTCTACCAAGCATTTTCATATTTTATTCGCCTTTCGCCAGTCAAATACACGCACATAATTCGCTTCCGATAAGTGCTATAGCATATCTCTCAAAAGCTTTATAGCCCAATAGAGAGGGGGAGAAAGGTTCAGTTAATTCCTATCCTCCTTTAGAATAGCTCAATGGTCAGCGAATTCAATATGAATTACATTTGCTGCATTGCCTGACAATTTGATGAAATCCGTAAAGTTTTTGTCATATTGTCAATTTGCCGACAGCTAATTAAATTATATACACACACACATGCTTCGAGTGTACTCAAAATTATAATTTTCTAAAGAAGATTACGTCTATAGCGCACACAGAAAACATGTCCATAAAAACTGACCGAAAAAATCTGAGGCAAACTTTTCGCGCCGTCAACTTTTTTAATTTAATATCAAATACGCAGCGTATACGTAATTTTTGTGGCTTTAAACGACAACTGTATGTGTGTGCTGGGTGTGTGTGTTTGTAGTGCGGTCAAAAATTTAATTAAAATGTTTCACGAGCACAAATTTCAAATTCAAATTCAAACTCAAACTAAAATTCACATTTCGAATTGCATGCAAAATGAATAATTGAATGAATTGCGACTAGTTGAAACCAGTTTGACTGCTGTATTGCCTAATTTTTTGTCAGCTCCTGTTAACAAAATTGAAATATTGTTTGTGTTTCTCTGTTGTCAGTCAATTTGCTCTGACAGTTCGAATAAATTTCAAACACTACGAAATTTATATATGTATGTACATATATTCAAATATTTGCTATATTCATTATTCAAATGCAATAAATATGTATGTACATATAAATAAATGAATACTTAAACGCTGTTATTAAAGGATTGTGTGGTTTCCCAAGCAGATGTTAGTTAACAGCAGCATAAAATTACTGTTACATAGCATTTGCATTACTGTTGTTATTACTTAACATTTACGATATGTTAAGTTCACCTCAATACCTATGTTATATATGACTTTAAATTTCTGTAAAGAATTTATCAATTTATAATTTAATTTTTTTTCACATTAATTATAAATACTTAACATTTATTTTATTTTATTTTTTTTTTTTTATTGTATGATTCGCAATTTAATATTTATCCCCATTGTTATCGACTATGTTTTTCATTACATTTTGCAGCGGTAACAGTGTGACACAGACAGACACACAAGCAAGCCGCAAAGAGTGTACAAATTGGATTTCAATTGGATAGCAATGTTAAACAGCTAAAAATATTTTAATATATACTTAATCAGTGCTTAATTTAATTACATATAATATCACATATACATACGTGTAAATATATATATTTTTAAAATTAAAGTTTGGTTTATAACAGAGTGACTCGCTGTTTCATACATCTCCTACTGCTTGCTGCCATCAGACTACATCACTCTCTTACCCTCTGCACTCTCTCTTATCAGCTTACGAGCTTAGCACTGCCACGCCCAGCTTCTACATCACTAGGGCGCCCTAAAAAACGTATTTATTACCTTTGTTTAGACTTTATATAATACTCGCGCTGATGGCACTTGAGCAAATAGCATTAGCATTGTCTTTGCTCCGTTCCCGGCATTCTCGGAGCATGTTATTGTTGGCGTCGCCTTGCAGGCCTGAGACACTTCCTTATCACTGCCACAGGCCCCGAAGTGGTAGATGATGGTAGATGTTTTCCTTGGTTCGCCACTTGTCGGGCTGCTGCGCTTGATTTGTGCGCCTCGTGTGAGCGCGCGGGGAGTTTGTCGTGCGCTTTGTTTATGCGCCTTGGCGTATGCTGTGAAAATTACACATCTCTCGCATGTAGTTAGCTGCATTACGCTAGCTGTTGTTGTTGCTATTGTTGTTATTGCTCATATTGTTGTCTAAGAAAACACAGCTGAAGCTGTGCTGGCATCGGCGTGAGGATTCCCTGAGAGTTCGCAAAGAGTCGAGAGTAAAGTAATATTAGCTTTGGTCTGATGCAATTGTTCTGGATCTATGCTTTGTTGGCTTTAGAGAGGCTTAACTTCTATAAATTGTTGTCTTGTTTCTCGTTTCGACTACACTCTCATTTCTTGTTAATTAATGACAGTAAAGAATATTCTTGATTTCCATTTAACGTTTAAAGAGAACTAACTGATTCGGTAGGGATAAATAAAAAAATTTTGTGGATATTATCTACACTTCTCTCAACTGATTTTTATATATTTTTATTCGATTCGAAGCAAGCTTAGTCTTAAAATATTTAATTTCTTGTTTGCGTTTGTAAATTGAAAAGTTTTTTTAAGTTTAATATTGTTCAAAATTACTGCAATTATCGATATTAATCGATATCAAAATGTGCACGCCATGTGATAACTTCATAACACCGGATCAAGTAATAAATCTACGATGTGACAAGGAGAATTTTACGAGTGTAAGCTACTGCTAGATAACTAGACTCTTCGCCTGGGCGTCTCAAGTCTATCATGATCTCGTTCGGTCCACAGAAAATGCAGGTGCAGATCCAGAAATCCTGGATGCGGCCTCGGTTCATGTTCGTCTTTGAGAACGGGGATCTAAACACGGCTGCCCACTGTCTGGCCGAGAATATGCACGAGCCCTTCGAGCCCTACCCCATTGCCAGTGTGGCCGTGCAACAGTCAGTGCGCGATGAATTCATTGAGCGCGTCAAGTATCGCTTCCACCAGCTGCCGCCACATGTGGCCACCCATCCGAATTTCGAGCGCTCGCTGAAGGAGCTGCAAGTGGGCGGCATTAAATATGAGGTCGCTGACATTGAGAACGCACCGCCCGTCGCCAGTCCGATCATTGTCACTGACAACATAACCCACTTGCACTTCAGCACCACCCCGACGGGCGTGGTCACTCTGAAGAGTTTCGAAACCATAAGCCAGGCAGCGGATATCATTGTCAGGGAGCAGCCGCCTTTTGATGTGATACACATCTTCGACGAGAGCATCGTGACCGTCTATTCATTGGCCTCGCGAATCACTGGCACTCAGTTCTATGTGAACTGCATGGAGGTGTGTCTATTGCCAATACTGCCGTTCTACAGCTCGAAGCAGGCCTGCACCAAGCTCTACGACGGCTATCACTTCGAGACCCTCGAACTGGGCGCGCATTGGCGCATTATCGTCTTCCCCTACCACACAACCTATACGAATCGCTGCTGTTGTCCGCTGGACGAATGCTATTGCACACAAAATAACCATCATTGCTGTGAATAAAGCTCATCATTTCGCATAATCGCACTTAACCTGCAGCCCAGCAAACAGTCTGAGAATACAAACTAAAAAGAAAACCCGGCGTTACAGACGCTTAACTTCCTGGCGGGCTGCAACATCTGCCGCAGTTGAGTATCTCGAGAACTTAGAGAATATCGCCATTTCTGGCTGGCAATTGGACTGACAACACATGTGTCACATAATTTTCGCGGTTGTTGGATTCCAATTTAGTTCTACAGTAGACATTAGATATATTAAATCAAGATGCGTGCTTAAATTTATGTGCAATTTTTGTGCATGCCAATTTCAGCTGAATGAATGAAGATCATGAGCAGAAAACTTTCTTTAATATGTACATGTATAGCTATTTTAAATATTATAAAAAAATATAAAAAATATATAATAACATGTATTTTTAATAAATAAATAATAATTAAAAATAGTAATAAAAAGTGAGCAAATGATTTGAGTGCCTTAACTTATTCAGCTTTCTGTTTCAAAACTAAAAAATATATTGAAAATTATGCCTTATGCCTACTTTACTTAATTTTTGGAAGAAAAACTATTTCCCTTGACTATACCGACTGCTAAAGTGAACTTTTCAGATATAAACAATAAACGATATATTTACATTGAAGACCTATCACAGATACCATCGATATATGTTTTTATTATACCTTTAAATATATTCCAGCAATAGAGTTTAAATATTCATTGACTTATGTTCGCCACTCACTGTTAGAGCTCACTGTACTTGGCCTCTGCCATAATAATTTGTCTGTATTTATCCGTCCGTGTCTGTGCTTTCCGCTCTTGCAGTCTCAGCTGCTTGGTGCGCATACATATGTCGGCGACTGTTTGGCTTTTAATAAAACTTCGCACCGCAAAGTACGAGCCGTTCGCAACAGGAGTCGAGGAGCGGCATCCACCAAAAGGCAACTATTAAACTGGCAGCCAGCCATTAGTGGCGTCTGCTGCGACTGCAGCAGTTGCTGCCGATGCGGCAGCTAGTCGCCAGTCATCGACAGTTTTTGGCATTTTATGTGCCAACTTGTTAATGAGTTTGCCTTGAGGAGCGGAAGAAAGCCGCAGCCAGCAGATCCTACGCCCCTTTCAGGCGGGCAGGCCTAACTGCAACTGCAATCTTCTAGCCATCAAGAGCTTTTGGCATTGAAAAGCAAATGTTGTTGCACTCTCTGACAACTGTGTGTCTGCCTCTCTGCCTGTCTCTCTGTCTGTTTGGTTGTCGTATGACTGTCTGTTCGCTCGTATTTGTCAGTTTTGTCTGCATTTGTGATTTGAGTTTGACAGATTTTGGATGTGCTTTAGCGGCGTCTGGCTGCCATTTTATAGTTTTTCCGGATATAAATGAAAAACACAAGAAAAAGTCAATTGTGTGCTGTTTCGAAAAACGTTTTCAACAACTGAAGATTCAGTGTGACCCAGGGCTAAATTGTATATATTATTACATTATGGACCGTAACTTAATATTTTTAGATTAGAAAATTAACATAACTGGAAATGGGGTATATTATAAAATATATTTATATAAAATATGGACCGTAACTGAATATTTTTAGATTAGAAAATTAAAATAACTTGAAATGGGGTATATTATAAAATATATTTATATAAAATATATTTATGCCAACATTAAATTGGCAAATAAAATATATATGTATAAAGAATAAAAAAAAAAATAAAATAAAAATAAAAATAAAAATAAAAAACATATAAATAAGTATATATGGTATATATATAAATATATATACATAAATTAAAGATTTTATATATCAATTATTTTTTAGCAACTATACATGTATAAATTTAAAAAAAATATATATATATATATTACAAAGAATTTTATATTTGATATCAAATCTTTAAAACAATAATTGAAGTCCATAGAAAAATCGTATACGTTCCTCGCTCTAATGTCAATTAATAATACAAATATATAAAAGATATATATTAACATTATCTTATCTTTTGTTATAAAACACTCGATGCCTTGACGAATTTGTCGAGTTTCTGTTTCTCAAAACTCTAGCAATTAAATATTTTATGAGCGGACTGTGAAAAGGCTTAGCACAGCTGTTTATTTGTTTGCCTGGCCGTCTGGCATTTGGCTATAAATTGTTATTTATGTCTGGTGCTGGCGGGCGTAACCACGCCCACTTGCCAAACATGATGACCGCTTGCGGCCGTTATTCTATTAAGCTGCCAAACTTGGCTAAATGTTTGACCATGTCGCGGCTCCGTCAATGCCACAGATTTTCGTTATATATCTAGGCTTGTTTTGTTTTTACTTTTATTTCTACATTTTTGCAAATGTCGATGCACTAGTTGTGAGTGGTGGACGTGGCAGATCTGTCTGCCGGCTCACTCTCTCTTTCTCTCTCTATTTCTCTCTGTGGTAGAAAATGCAACAAGAGCAAGACCAACCGCAGCGGACACTTGTCAACGTTTGAGGTTTGTTGTTGTTGGCTGTTGATGTATGTGTGGGGTTTCGTTGTTCTTTTGTTGTTGTTGCTTTTGCTGTGGTTGTTGAAATGCAGTGCTAGACCTTTGAGTCTAATAGAATTAAAGTTGCCCCGCCTTGGGGCCTAAAGCCAGACGACGGCTGTTTGAAGCAAAAGGCTTAACGCCATATATTATATATGTTACGTTCTTTCCTTAGGGTTTTTGAAAGGCTTAGAACTTTATATTAAACTTTCTGTTAGGCATAATTCTCTGCAGGGAAATGAAATGAGCTGCAGGCTTCACATGGCATGTAATTGCAGCATATTAGTCATTTGTTTCTCTGTAATCGATGAATCATAAATTGCTCAGTAATATCCCCAATATCCTCCCACCTCCCTCAACAATATATTCAAGCTTGCAGAGTCTTCATAAAAACACTTCAGTTTCTTGACAATTTTAATTCTCTCTACCAGTTATTTAATTTTAAATGAAGCCAGTTATGGCTTGACAGGGAAGTTCATAAAATTCTGCAACTGTTTGTTTTTTAATCTACTTCGTCTGTAGTTTGTATAAAACATTCGGCAGTCGCAGCAATCGCAGTTGATCAAAAATTTGCTGCCGGAAAGCACGCAAAATGCGGTGACAAGAAGAACAACTGACAATCAATTCAGAGCACAGTATTCTAAAATACACGGACAATGTGAATGTGCGAGCGCACAAGCGACCGCAACAATTTGAAAAACATTACCCATACGCCATGTGTGACACACAAAACATTGCTGCAAGATAGCAGCAGAATGAAAGAGAACGGGAATGCGAATGCTGTGGGCGCCGCACGGAAATAGAGGCGCTTGCGGTACAGTGAAGCCCCAGTATATGGGAGCGCAGTGTATTTTCAACACCTGCTGGTCAAACAAATCGTGTTCATTTTGGTAGAAACACTAATTTCGACAAGGTGCAAACAAGCTAACGTTGCTCCCCAGTCTGGGGAACAGGAAAACAGCAGAGACATACACACACATACATTTGAATGTCACGTGCTGCTGGTCTGTGTATGTGTCTGTGTCTGTGTGCTCGGGCCTGTCGACGACAGATAAAATGCTTTTTTGAAAAATGTAAAATTGCATTTGTAACCGCATTTCATTAGAGAAAGGAAAGTCAAGCATCAGGTACCAGCAGCAGCAGCGCGAGTAGCAGGAGTAGCAACAGCAGACAGCAGCAGTCGTTGGCAGCGGCACGTAGCCCAAAAATGCCATTGGGCCAACACAAATAGCAGTCGGCAATGGGCAACGTGCAACATACAAACTGCAACAAGGTTCGCGACAGCGAAGCCAGCGTCACGGTCAGCGCTCAAGCAGCAGCAGCGGCCCCCAGGCTAAGGCAGAGCGGCAAATGGCGAGGGGTGAGGGGAGAGAGGCGTGCGGGGCGTGCCTGTTACAGCTGCCATTTTTGTTGCTGTCGAAACATAAACATGCCTGTCTGCTGTATGCATGTATGCATGTGTCTGCCTGTGTGTGTGTTTGTGTGTGTGTGTGTGTGTGTGTATGGCAGTCGTTTAGGCTTTAAATAGCAGACTGAAATGTTGATGCGGGCGCTTGAGCACCGTGTGTGTGGGCGTTTGCTGCATTTAGAATTGTTCCTGCAGTGAATGTGGCAACGTATGATTTGATAATCATTCTGAATCATGCAATTGAACGTGGCTTATAACACATTCATGTACAGCTTGGCCGCGTTAAGTGATTGTGCACTGCGCGACGTTTGGGCAGCGCCAAGTGAAAGGTGAAAGATGGCATCCAAATCGGATTATGGAACAGCTGTTCTCTATCCACAGCTATTTAAAGTAATAGACAGACCTTTCAGGCACTTAAATAATTTCGAACGGATTCAAGCGAGCAAAGCCGACATATAGCTTGTGCCTGTTATTTACTGGAGAAGAGAAATACAACCACATCAGATTCAATTTGATTTTGCTCTGGATTTGGAATATTTAATTCATAGCGTTTCATAGTTGATTTGCCTGCATATTTATTTCAGTTTATTATCAAAGCTATTTCTTTGAATGTACAGAAGTTGCTGATGTAAGTCGATCGCTTGCTAGAGCTCTTTTGCTTTCACTTTCGGCAAAGGTATGATCTGTCTCCTTTCAAAAGGCTCACGCTCAAAATTTGTGCCAAATTTTGTATATAGAATTACGTGTACAAATTTGTAACAGATAAAGTAGCAGCTCTTATGCTTAAGGGTACACACAGTATAATTTTTTAAAATACATAAATTTCATTACATAATTAAAACAGATATGATTTTTAAAACAAAAATATGGACAAGAGCAAAATAGTTTGTATATAAGATACGATTGGAATCATTATGCCTACAGTTATCAAGGCTTTCTCCTCAAATCAAATTCCGGTGGTTATGGATACTAGGTAATTCGATGCGTTGGCCAATATAGTCTTAAAGACAGCAGTGGCTACCTGTTCGGTAGGATCGTGCAGGTGTATGACTAATACCAGCACTAAAATGACTGACAGGGTCGATCCGATTGACATTACAAGTCGATTGATAAAAACGATGATATAGCTGAGCATTGTAATTAACACTACTATGAGCAATATAATGGTCAGATCAGGTGAGTTTTCGGTAACCGTTTCTATCCAATCTAAGCACCGATCCGGAAAAATTGAGGGATCGTCCTCCTTGGGTCTGGTTAGTCTTGGATCCATTTTAACGTTGGAAACGAACATAATTTTGAAGTAAATAAAATAAAAGTGTTAAAATATTTATAAATCTGGCTGAAATGCTTGACAAGGCTAGCTTGTAATTCGAGCCAGCCCATCGCTCTGACAGCTTGACAAATGAATGATCAGGCCAAACAGGACTCGCCGCCAACAAGCGACGGCCGAACAGCAGGAAACGGACAACAGAAGGCGGAATGCAG